TTTTTTGTATTGAAAGTTAATAAAACTTTAACACAGCTAAAAAAATAATAAGTAAAATAAAATAAATAAATCAGTTCCAGCATCACACACTACAGATCCAGCCACCTCTGAAAAAAACCCATCTAATGGGTACATTTCTTTCAGCTGTATAAGGCTTTGAGGGGACATCTAAACAGAAACCATACCAATGCTGAAATTGTAACAAAATGTTTAACCTAATTTTGATGGGGTTTTTATTACCTGTAGACTGCATTAACTATATAATTGTCATTGAAAACAACTAAGGTTTTGAGGCTGGCAAGATAGCTCAGCAGACAAAGCACCTGCTTTGGCAAGTGCAGGGACCAGTGTTTGATCTCCAGTTCTGCTTGCTGTGCTGGCCCTGCCCCTAGGGCACACTGAGTCAGTGATAGAATCTGGATGTTGTGCTCGCCTGTAATCCCAGCGCTGGGGAGGCTGAAAACAGGAGGATCACCACGAGTCTGATCTGCATAGTGAGACCCTGTACCAAATGCACAAATGAAAACAACTAAGGTTTTATTATTTAGAGATATTGTAGCTTGGCACTGTCCATTATAGTAGACAACAGCCACATGTGATTATTAAAATGTGAACTGATTAAAAATATTCTTTTTAGTGGCACTGGATAATGCCACATTTTTTTTATTTCTTTTACTTTGGTTTTGTTTGTTTTGTTTTGTTTCATTGAGGGAGGGTCTTGCTGTGTCTTCCAGTCTGGACTTAAACTCTCCTGGATGCTCACGCCTCACCCTCCTGAGTTCTGGGATTACAAGCATGTGCCACCGCACCAGGCTGGATGGTGCCATGTTTGATCGCTTTCTCAGCATATGATCCCTATGAGAACCACTTGGTATTTGGAGTTTTAAATAAATACAAATTACTATCTATGCTTCACCTCTAGGTGAAGCACAGATAATCTACAATTTTAATTAACATTGTAAACTTTGAGCATATCCATATATTATGAATATCTTGAGGGTATCATTTGTTTATGATATAGGATATTAACTGTATTTAGAATGGTGCAATACTATATGTTGAAACTTGTGGGATGCAGTTACACTGATAGAGAAAAATTCCAGTTTGAAATGTTTGTTGGAAAATTACTGGAGAAGTTTGCCACATGACTGATTTTTAAACTGCATGAAGAACACTAATAAGTACAAATACAGTAAAAATAGTAAGAAAAATTTTATGACAGTATTTCAGTAAATCTGAAAACTTCAGTGAAGTGAAATTTCTTAGAAAATCAACTGCCACCATCAGTCTAGTGGAAAAAGAAAAAAAAACAAAAACAAACCTGAAGTCACCTTTACCATACTTTCAAGAAACACAGAACTCGGATATTATGTTTCAGATACTAGAAAAATAGTTTGACTAATGCTGTAAGTTTAGTAAAATAGGATGTTAATGCCAAAACAGACAAAATCCAAAATAATAGACCATTGTCTTTTACTATGACCTACAGTTTTTTTCTTGATCAGCAGATAAATGTACCAGGTAAAATGAAATGCCAAAAATGAGCCTTTAGTAATGTAATATGGTGGGAGAAGGAAACACAATTTGTAGTCTCTTGTGAAGTTCACAAGTGCTTCACAGTTCTGTGTTCCCTTCCCTTAAGTGGAACAGACAGCTAGTGCTGACTGAGGTTGGGTATTTCTCTTCCTCCAGGTCAGTTAGGGCCTGTAGAGATCACAATAGAGTAAGCCCTGCCCAACTAATCTCTCTCAAGACACACTTTATGAAAACAGTGCTCTGGCATATATCAGACTGTTATTTTTCCCCTACTCCTATTTTTTAAAAAATTTATTTATGTGTGTGTGAGTGTGTGTGGCCAGCTCAGCCCACCAGGGGGCGGGTCTGGCTGGCATGTGGTGCTGGGGGATTGAACCGCGGTTCCTGTGCTTTGCTAAGCTTGTTCTTAGTAGGTGCTTTAGACCACTGAGCCATCTCACCAGCCCCTGAATTCTATTTTAGTTTTCTCTCATTGCGGAGACAAAAACACCTCACATCAGAGGTTAAAGGGGGAAAAGTTTATTTAGCTCACAGAGAGGTTTCAGTCCATAGTCAGCTAGCTCCAAGGCAGGGTGGCATGGTAGACAGGCATTACAGAGGAGAAAGTTCATGGTGGATAGAAGATAGCAAACAAACAAGGGGCAAGACAAGCCTCTTTCTGTCTTATATTGTAATCCAGACTACTAGGATTAGGATATTGCCAGTCAGTGGATTGATTTAGTAATCACCTATCCTTAATCTTAGCACCTTTAATCCTAGCACTGTGTCATGAATCAGTCACACACACACTAGATTCAGCCACCTCTGAAAAAGCCCCACCTATGACTGCATAAAGCTTTACAAGAGACAGAATCTAACTAGGCACAAGATAAAATGAGTTCTAAGAAATTTTTGAAATAATTTTCTAGAATATTTTGTACAAGTGGTATAGTTTTAGGTTTTATATTTAGATCTGTAATCCAATTTCAAGTAAATTTTTATGCAGGAGGGATGAGTTGAATGGTTTTTCATTCATTTTGACACCAGTACTATTTGTTAAAAAGACTACCCCTAACTCATAGAATTATGACACTTTTGCCAAAAATAAATTGACCAAGACAAGTACTGTTGTACAGTCAAGTGTATCATACCTTGGAACTCAGTGACACTGAAACTTGTTGAATTTGATAGGCCATGCACTTCTGACACAAAACTTTTGTCTCAGTATTTGTCATTTGTTTGCTACTTGACGTGTAAGTTAGAATGTTGCATCTGCTGCCTCATGACTTTGTAGCCACAGTACTCATTTTTACTTGTCAGGCCTCTTGGAACCCAATTAATGACCAGCACCAACGTACCACTTAATCCTAGCATTTTGGGTGGCTAAAGCAGAAGGATTACAATTTTAAGTCCTCCTGGACAACTTAGCAATTCATTCAGACTTTTTTCTCAAAATAAAAAAGGGCTACAGATGTAGCTTAGTGTGAAGCCCTGGACTCAATCCCAAATACTAAAATAAAAATAAAATAGCAAATTATGTAAGTACAGGTATAATTTTGGACTTTCTTCTCCTAGGCCCGTGTCTGTTCTTTTACCAATACCACAAATTGTCTTGATTACTGTAGCTTTACAGTAAGATATTTTGGGGTTTTCCTTGCAAAATACAAAATAATTCGCTTTTCTGTGAAGGGTTAACAATCTTTATTAATGGAAGCATAGGTAATCTTTAATTATACTACTAAAACAGATTCACTGTTTTAAAAGCAGGGTAGTTAAAAAGAAAAGGTGTAAAAAAAATTCCAAGAAAAGGTGTAAAAAAAATTCCATCTATTAATACTATACTGTCTGCCATTATAGGTGATACGCTAGCACATTTGTACCTTATTCTTAAATTTAAAACATGAGGCCGGGGAGATGGCTCAGTGGAATAAGTGCTTCCCTGGCAAGCACAAGGGCCCGAGTTCAATCCCCAGTTCTGAAAAAAAAAAAAAAAGAGAGATCCTGCTATAAGCGTCATAAAATATTTGTAATCTTTTACCATTCATCTTGTATAGTTTTGTTATGTTAAGTGAAAGTACATTTTTGATATTTTGGATTCTGACCTAGTTCATTGCGCCAACAGTGTTTTTCTTAGCAGTATAGGGCAGAGAATGAAAAGGGCAGATGTAAATGGAAAGGATGTGAAAGTGATTAATATTATCAGTTGTTCAGCATAAATATATGTAGATTTGGAAGACTGTAAGTAAAGTGTATACTACTTGGCAAATTGAATTCATTACAAAATAGGTTTCAAGTGGTCTGTTTCTGGGTTCCTTTTTTACCCAAGATATTTTCCAGTAAGAGTACCTGGAAACTTAATCCTAATAGAGTTCTTCTTCCTGTTTTTTCTCTTTATAAAACTTTTAAATAAGACTTCATTCCTGAGGGAGTTTCACTGAACTTATCAGACCCAAAAACTACAACTCTTGTTGCATAGGTCCTGCCTTACCTTGGTCTTAACCATCCAGCAGAAAAGTATAAAAACGAAGTATAAGAAGTAATGTCAACAATTTCTGACATTGCCAGTCAAGCAGAAGACCCAATACTATTATGGACAACTGGACTCTTTCAGAATATTTTGCTGAGTTTACACACCTATAATATTTAAATGATGGAACTTAACAAAAAAAGGGGATACAGATGAATGTCCATTTTGTATCTGTGTATTCAAAGTGGTTAGGATAGATATAGTTACATTCTCTTAATGAATAGAAAGGGATTTGTTCTAATGGTGTTTGTAAATAGGATATCAAGTCTGCATCTTGTACAGCAATTAACCACTAGGAAGAATGTATGCAATGTGTTAATTATTGAAACTGTCCTACCAATTTGGTTTGAAACTGTCTCATTACTATTTGTTTCTCAATAAAATTATGGAAAAAAAATAACTAAGACTTCATTATACCCGTCCTTTAGTACTGTGGGAGAAAATGATCTTGAAATGAAAACATCACAGATATGTAACATAATAACCTTAAGCTGCCCTAAGCAAAGTCTGTCTTTACATTGGTCACCAGGGATGTCTAAATTAGCACACAGTGTAGTAAATTTCCCACTAGAAAAAAGCCAATCATATTAAAGTACATATGATGATATTGAAAAATCCATACTTGTTACAATCACCATAGAAATGGCATATAGGGAAAGATAATCAGTGTGTAGATGATCGTCAGATGACTTTCTTGCATGTGAGTGTTTCAGATCTCAAAATGATGAACTACCCAGATGAAGCAAATATGAGTACAGTGCCCTGTGTACATTTTTCTTTTAATTCTCAGTTTTTATTTTGCTTGATATTCAGTTAGATATAACAACAAAAACAAACTGTCTTGAAAAGCAAATAGAGTGTTTTATTTTTTGTCTCTCACTCTCTATGCATGGATAGTAATAGGCTATCTAAGTGCTGAAACCAATAACTTAATTCTTTCATTAATTATTCTGAACAGACTGGATTGTGGACAGAACTTGGAAAGATTGAAAACAATTTCCTAAAGCCACTTCATACAGGACTTAATATGTCAAAAGCACACTATGAAGCAGAAATTAAAAATAGCCAAGAAAATAACCAAGGTTGGTAATACGCAATTTTCTTTTTCAGTTAAGTCTAAAACTTACTCAAATTTTGGAACTTTTAACATTCAAGCTAAAGAAAACTTTATGTTCGGTTTATGCCAAGCAAGGATAAGCTGTGCCAAACAAAGGACAAGAGCTAAGTCATTTCACTTAAATTAAACTGATTCTTAGCACATCGCTAAGCCAGTTAACACTGAAATGAGGTTAGTAAAAGATTTACACCAAATTGAAGTGTAATCTGTTTCAGAGTTTTAAGTTCTGATCAACACTGCAGCTGTATGGGAGGTTAAGGCAGGAGGATCATAAGTTCAAGGCCAGCCTGGGCAACTTAGAACCTATCTTAAAATGTAAAGGGTTTGTGGGTATAGCACTTGTCTAGTATATGCACAGCCTTGGATTAAATCTCCAGTAGTGAAAAAAAGATTTTCTTTAACAAACATTTTCCTTTTGTGCTATTATACTTTCTTTAGTATTGCAAGATCCACTTGTCTTACCCCTGAATAAATCTGTGCAAATTACAAAAAAGAATCTTTTTAAGTAAATAAAAAATAAAAGTTTTGAAAAAAAAAATAAATAAAAAATAAAAAATTGTTATATATCAAAAAAAAAAAGAATCTTTTGATGGAGACTTCAAGTCAACAATTCTGCTATAATAATGTGATCTTTTCCATATATCTGTGGTGGTATTATTAAAAATCTTCTTTTTAAAAGGACTAAAAAGGTCGGCAAGATAGCTCAGTGGACTAAGCACCTGCTTAGGCAAGCGCAAGGACTGGGGTTCAATCCCCAGCACCACGTGCCGTGCTGGCCCCTTGGGTGCACTGAGCTGTGGACTGAGTTCGGGTGTGGTGGCACGTGCCTGTAATCCCAGTGCTGGGGAGGCTGCAAATAGGAGGATCACTACAAGTCCAAGCTGTGGAGTGAGACACTGTACTACATACATAAAACTTAAAAAAAAAGTTAAAAGGACTTTAATATCAAATAAAAAAAATGAAGTTTTATGCATCCTTTACATGCCAAAATAAGGCTTTTTATCTATGAAAGCATTAGTTCATCCTCAAGAATTCAGTATTTGCTTATATTTTGAATTATCCTGGACTGTTAAAAGAAATTTGATAATTCACACAAATAACAGAAACATTTAACAATGAAAGTAGTTTATAATGTATTATCAAAATGTATGTATTATTAAAATCTGGCAATTGTATTAATGGATGTTTGACGTGGTTTTTCTTCTCTTACAGCAGACCCCAAGTCTAAGAACCTTTGTTCTGTAACTGTAGGTAGAGAAGAGATTCCTAATATGCCTCCTGAAATGCAGCTTAAGGTGATCTGATATTTTCTTAAGCTGTATCTGGCTAGTCTTTTGGACTGTATGTTTTCAAGGCAGCATTAATAATGCTAATTTTTCTTGCATTGCAGGTCCTACATTCAGCTCTTTTCACATTTGATTTAATTGAAAGTGTTCTAGCCCGAGTAGAAGAACTCATTGAAATAAAAACAAAGTCTACCTCTGAATATAAAATGCTGGAATAAAATAGAAATTCTACTTTCTAAACAAAAATTAATAAAATCTTGTATTTTCCATTGTTTTATTTAGTACCTTTGTAAATATTTTTCTAGAAATAAAAGTACTGCTAGAAAAGCTAATGTACTCTTTCAGTAGTCAAATTGTAAAACAAAGTATAGATCATGAGTTATGGTTTTAAAAAGCTAAAAATACACTGGAATGTTTCATATAAACTAATAATTTCATAAACTGTAACTGAAATGCTTTATTCAATATAGTTGTAAGTTTATAAAAAGATGGACATACTTTTGCTTAAGTGCTGTGTAATGTTTTAGAAATCCTAGTGTCAGTTTAGATACCACACTACTACAAAAGTGATGTGTTTAAGTCAGTTAATTGGTTTTCTTAGCTTCTCTTTATGTGCTAATAAGAAACTTCTGTATTTGCTCATATTTGACCATAAAATTCAATTTGTATGAAGAAACAGTTTTATAATATATGTACTAATTACCGTGTGTGTGTGTGTGTGTGTGTGTGTGTGTGTGGCTGGCTCAGCCCATCCTCAGGGTGGAGCTAGCATGGCATGTGCCTGGGATTGAACCACAGTCCCTGCACTTGCCTAAGCTTGCCTAAGCAGGCACTTTAGACCATTGAGCTGTCTTGTCGGCTGTATTAATTACTTTTAAACTTTATAAACAGAATAATTATTCAGCAAAAATAAAATATCTTTTAATTGAATACATCTTTTATGTTAATATAAGCATCTTTAAATATACATTTAAATATTATAACAGTTCTGGTTATTTTTATGTTCTTCCCAAAGAATACTTATAACTGGTTCTCTAATTTGAGCTAATTGAATCACTGTTCAGTTTTATCTTATGAAGTGTTTTCCAAACAGGACTTTGCTCTATGATATAAGCTTTAGTTGTTACCATTCTATAGCAGATGCTATCCATGTATGGTTTGGAGGAAGTCTGGAAGAAAATATAAATATGCAACTTTATTACACAAACAAGATTTTTTTCAGAATCACATAAAAGGAAACTTTAAGTTTGTTTAGCAAATACCTCATGATCACTTTTATGCTACGAAGTATTCAGTGTGCCAGTTGTTAAAGTAATAAGTACCTGATCTCTATCTTCAAGGAGTTTCCAACATGCAAGTCAAAGGGAATAGTGCATTGATTACTTTAATGGGGATATGTTCCAAGTGTGAGAATAACTTCAGACCTAATGCTGCCCAGGGGAGTTGGGATATATCTAGCATATTTTACAGAGGAAGACAAGCATGAAAAAGATAGTGAGCTAATGGAAAACATTCCATTTAAAAATATGTTTGCACACTGACCATTAGGATTGTCATCTATTTCAAAATTGAAGGAAAAGATAACCTACTGGCCCAGCACAACATACATGTGGCCACACACTTTTGTGGCACAAAATGAATCATAAATGGGTAGTAGTTACTAAAAGTAAATTAGGTTGAGTTCAAGCTTGGGAAAGCATTGTATGTGTAAAAAAGCAATCTCTCAGATGAACAGAAGCAGAGTATTTGTCAGTCCTGCTCAAGAGGGTGTGCAATCTGAAAACAAACACTGGAAGACATACAATATCATATAACTTTTCCCCTAGGTGATTTACCTTAGCTATAGTGCACATAAGATTGATAGCATTTGCTGTGTTGTGTACTGGAAGTATCCGTAATTTACTTCCCAGGAATCTGAAAAAGTAAAATCCTAAGTCACCCAGAGTACATACCTTAACTGACATTTGTTCTATTAAATAGGTATAAAAAAGAAACAACTCTATTGTTTACTATGTGTTTATTCGTTCAGGCCCTGCCTTATGTCACAGAAGATTTGAGGTGGCTTTGTAGCCAGAACATACTTTTGGTCTTGAAGGAAAAGCCCATAAATCAGCATGAACTTTGGCCACCCTAAAACATAGAACAGCTGTTTGTCCTAAGTTTCATTAAATATGACACATTAACATAAAATTTATATTCTAACAAAACAAAACTCATCTGCCTGAATTAAGAACTGAAGTCAACACAACACTGTATAATAAAAATGTCTGCAGTTCTATTCTTCCATACCTTTGCTGAATCCTGAACATCAGTTTCCATTCTTCATGCCCATGAAGAGCAGCAAACAGAACCAAGAAACTATTTTGGTGAATGTTAAGAAACTTCTCAATTTTGGTTAGAAATACTTCTTCAGCTGATATCATGCATTCATTAGCATCCATCAATAAAAATGCTACTCCTAAAAAGGTTAATACATAAAGTCAGTTTTTCATACATAGCAAATTTTGTAAAAATAAATCAGTAAGTTCCCTGTCTCTGTAACATGGGGATAAGAATTGTTCTGCTAGTCAGAAGGTTAAATAATATATAAGGGCCCAGAATATATAGTAGGTCACCAGAAATGATTTAGTATCTCCTGCAAGACTCTCTGTTAATCCAGAAAGAATGAGTTAGGCTGGACCACTTGCATCCTGGAGGTCTATTTCAAAGAATTTTTGAAAGCATTTATCTCCCAAAACCTTAGCTATATAATATATAAGGGCCAGGGAGATGGCTCAGTGGAATAAGCACTTCCCTGGCAAGTGCAAGGACCTGAGTTCAATCCTCAGTTCCGGGGGGAAAAAAAAACCAGCAACAAAAAAATCTTAGCTATAGTAGGGGGGTCTCTGCACTCTCGCAATAAAATTCTTTACCTCTACAGCTTCCTTAAGTCACATATCACTGGGACAAAAATACCTGACATTCACAATTTAAAAGAATTGGTTCAGTTTTTAAAGGATTCAGTCCATAGCTTCCTGCTTCTAGGCAGGGCAGGGCAGGGCAGGGCAGATGGTTTGGGTGAAGGAAAGCTGCTCACCTCAGGCTGGTCAGAAAGCAGAGAAAAAGGAGCCAGGGAAGGAGAAATACCCTTCCAGGTAACTCCTTAGTGAACTGCCACTAATCAGGTTATACCTCCTAGATGAACTCAGCTACAGAACTCATTAGTGGATGAACCCACTGATGACTATCACAGCCCCGTAATCCAGCCACCTTCCACAAGCTCCACCTCTTAAGCACACAAGGCTTTGGGCAGGGACTCTAGATCTAAACCATAACAACCTTTTAATTGCTTCTATTATTTCTCAACTACAAGTAGAACTCCCCTTTGCCCATTGTCAGTTTTGTCTTACCCTAATATAATTCCTGTGCTTTGCTCATGATTAATAGTTTTAGGATTTCAGAAGAATTTATTTGCAAGATAGTTAAGTTAGTATCCATCCTAGTCAGCAAACTCACAAAATTATGAAAAACTATTTGATGTGATTTTGAGTTCTAGTTAATACTTTAATACTTTAATATTTTTAGTGTGAGGTACTGGAATAAACACGGGCCCTCCACCACTGACCAGTATTCCTACCCCTTTTTATTTATTTTTTTCTTTATTTAGGACAGGGTGTACAGGGTCTCACTGCGTAGATTGGACTTGTAGTGATCCTCCTGTTTACAGCCTCCCAAGTGCTGGGATTACAAGTGTATGCCACCATGCCCAGTCTCAATGACAGTCTCAGTGTGCCCCAGGGACGGGACCGGCATAGCATATTTATTTTTCTTGAGACAGGACCTCACTTGCCATCCTCCTGCTTTAGTCTTCAGGGCTAGGATTACAGGTATGCACAACAATACCCAGCTAATATCTGGTTGTCAGGACAGTGGCTTTTCTATTTTCATTTTAGTTCCAAAGCAAGCAGTTGTCCCCATCCTCTACTACTGGCTCAGCTTTAATAAATTTAACTTTAAAAAATACTATATATTCTTTAATTGGCAAAATGCACTGCTTTTGCAGCAACCACAAAGTTTAACACATTTACCTCTCCCAAAAGCATTTTAAGTCATAAAATGGTAACTGAATTGCAAAAATTATTAAAATTTGTAGTCATATCTTTATATAAAAATTTAAATGAAGGCAGTTAGCAAATATACTGTACCAGAAAGAGAAAATATAATGGATCCATTTTCTACTGAATCTGAATACCGAATCTTGTGGCTTTGATTTTCCAGAGCAGCTGCAATTTCATAATTCTTTAAAAGAATTTTAAGAAATACAAATATAAGTCATGCTTACAACAATCTTCATTTCAGCTAATCAAAAAATTAAGAGGATAAAATCAAATTAAAAAATAAAAATAAATACAGAAGGTTAAAGGAAAACTAACTAACTAACTAAATAAATAAATAAATAAAAAATAAAAGAGGCTTCATAGTGGACTGGCCAGATAGCTCAGTGGACTAAAGCACCTGCTTAGGCAAGAGTAGTGATCCTCCTGTTTACAACCTCCCAAGTGCTGGGATTACAGGTGTATGTAAAAAAAAAAAAAAAAAGAGGTATGCCACCTCTTTTAATTTTAAAAGAGGTATGCCACCTCTTTTAATTTTTTAAAAAGGTAGATAGACTCATCCCCATGTGCCATGCTGGCCCTGCCCCCGGGGCACACTGAGATGGAGATTGAGACTGGGTGAGGTGGCGTGCACCTGTAATCCCAGTGCGTGGGAAGCTGAAAACAGGAGAATCACTATGAGTCCGATCTATGTAGTGAGACCCTGTAGACATTGTTCTAAATGCATTTTTAAAAAATAGGCTTCATAGCTTATTTTATAACTATACCACTTAAAAGACTTGAACATCAAAAGAGAAAAATCTCTGTATGGAGAAAGTAATTTTAAGAAAAGCAAAAGAAATTTAGCCTACTAAAATACTAATTATAAATTTACAAGTGAGTTGGTACCCTATAACAACATTGTATGGAGGTAGAAATTAATGGTATTAAACAAGTAAACTAAGAACAAGAGCAAATGCAAACTTTTGCAAATAAACACCGTGGAACAGATTCTGACATGCACTAGTGGATGCAGTGTAAGATGAGTGTGTGGCGCTCCTCAGATGGTGGATATGATCACAGGGAGCCACACAATAAACGAGACAGCCACGTTTTCATTTGTTTATATTAGCTACTTTCTAGTTGAAAAACTATCTCAATTTTTTAATTAAAAAAACACCATCTCAAAATTCACCTTATTTCTTATTCTAGTCAAAAAATTAGATCATATTACCCAAAGCACAAGTCTAAGTGGTTAATCATATTTCCTAAATAGTCAAAACTCAAACATGTTAGCTTCAGGTATATTAAAAACCCTTAGGTAGGCTAATTTTATTTTCTTCCCGAACATGTGTAAGTTGAGCTCACAGAAGTTATACATAAAATAGATACTTTGCTCCTAAGAAGAGCATTTTATGCAACTTAGATCCTGACCTAGAGTTCAATAATGGCTCTTTGTCTATGATTTTAAAATTGTACGCTGTCTCCACCAACGGCAGATTTAGTAATTTAGGCCAACTCTCCTGTTTAAAGCAACTAGAAAAAAATTTTTAGATTTTTCTGATGGGATTAATGATATTAACAAATGTGATTTCAAAATATTGTTTCATGTAATGTGTCAAGTGGAATTTCTTCATTGCTCTGTGAACTAGTATTTCCAAATTATAAGTGAATGTATCATTGTATAATATCTTTATGGGTGGAAATTCCATTCAAAATGCAAGGTAGATAGACTCAGGTAGAAGTGTAGGAAAGCTTATTGAAATGATTTCTTATTCCATATTATAACTGATATCTTAAAAAAAAGCAACTGGAAAGACTGGATGATTTCTTAAAAACTAAAAGATCTATTTCAAT